GGCCCTGATCCACCATGAGGCCTGGTCACAGACCGGGCCACGGGGGTGTTGACCCCCGAAACCCTCTCCAGGTATACACATAAGTACGATAAAGCACCTAAATTACTGGGAACGGTTGAAGTCCCTTGATTTGTTTTCAGTGGAACGAAGGCGAGAAAGATGCATGATAACATACACTTGGAAAATCTTAAAGGGACTTGTCCCAAACTTACACACAAAAATCACTCTCTACGAAAGCAAAAGACTCGGCAGGAGATGCAACATCCCCCCAATGAAAAGCAGGGGCGACACGAGTACACTAAGAGACAACACAATAAGTGTCAGGGGCCCATGACTGTTCAACTGCCTCCCAGCATGCATAAAAGTGATTACCAATAGACCCCTGGCTGTCTTCAAGAAGACGCTGAACAGGCACATAAAATCAGTACCTGACGAGCCGGGCTGTAGTTCGTACGTTGGTTAACGTGCGGCCAACAGTAACAGCCTGGTTGATCAGACCCTGATCCACCGCGAGGCCTGGTCAGAGACCGGGCCACGGGGGCATTGACCCTGAAAACCCTCTCCAGGTAACAAATTAATATCAATGAAAATGTTCATATCTCGCACCCCTCGAGGGAGGTTCCTTGATGCTGATAAGGGGCCCTTGATCGAGGGAATTGGATCGGTGCTCCAGTTCCATGAACTAAGCCTGAATGCCTTCCACCTCCTCCACAGAGTGAAGTGCAACGGGCAAGTGAAGTAGCAGAAGCAACACTCACAGCAAGAGGCATTCTTGAGCTTCCCCAGCGCTCGGGCTTGGCCCAAAGCTCGGGTGTGGCTCTTAAAGGATCCTGAAGTGTTTGCTGCCTTTGCACCTCCTGATATCGTCTGCTGCTATGTAGCTATCACCAGAGCCTGCCTTAGGAGGTGCGGGGCTCAACTGGGAACAATTATGGTGGAACCTATGTATGGAAAGCAGTCAAACTGTGAGCTTAAAAAATGCATGCGTGTTAATAGACCAAACATTTTAACACAAAATTGCATACATGTAAGTCTACAAGTAACAAAATTTGTATATCGCCTCTGAAAAGTATATAGTCACAATACCACTTGCTTTAATGACTGTGAAATGATTTATTAAAAATATTAATTTATTTTTGTTCAGAAAAAAAAAATCAGAATTTAAATGCAATGTTGGAAACAAATTATCTTTTTAGGACTCCTACCCCTCAAGGAAGGTTCCTTGATGTTGGTGAGGGGCTCTTGATTTAGGGAATTGGATCTGTGCTCCAGTTCCCCGAATTAAGCCTGAATGCCTTCCACATCCCCCCCCAGGCGCTGTACAATCCTCCGGGTTTAGCGCTTCCCCTTGATTAACATAATTTAGGACTCCTAAAAATCATTTAACATTCATTAACTATAAATGAGTCATATTATTATTGCCTCTTATTAGGAGAAAGTTATTTTTCTTGTTTTTTTTCTTTACAAAGTCTTTTAGAACTTTGTGGAAGTTTAAACTCCTGTTAATTTCAGATTCAATGGACATAATCACCAAACTGTTGAAACGTTATTGATGAATTGATGATCTCAATTAAGTTTTGATCACTTTCAGCCTGGAAAAACTCCTTTCTCCGGATTCTCCCTTTTTTTTTTTTTAACTTCGTGTTGTTGTGTGTATTTGACAAACCGAGAATAAATCACTCTTTAGCGCGGGGACCAATTGGGAACAATCGGTCCAACGGGCTTAATTAAGGCCGGCCCTGGCTGCCACACCCTTCGAGCCCCGTGGGGGCGGGGTTTGTGGCAGCCCAAGGTTCCTAGCTTCTCCCTCCTAGCACCGTGGGGGCGGGGTTTGTGGCAGCCCAAGGTTCCTAGCTTCTCCCTCCTAGCCCCGTGGGGGCGGGGTTTGTGGCAGCCCAAGGTGCCTAGCTTCTCCCTCCTAGCCCCGTGGGGGCGGGGAATGGGGCTAGGCCTGGGGACAGTTGGCCCCAGAAGACGATGAGGCACTTGTACCTCCTCCCATGGCAGATATTGGTTTGAGACCCTGCAGCGAAAGGGAGCCAACTCCGGGCCACCGTTTGGAAAACGCCCGGGCCAGGCGATTATACCTGGAGAGGGTTTCGGGGGTCAACGCCCCGTCTGTGACCAGGCCTCATGGTAGATTAGGGCCTCATCAACCAGGTTGTTTCTGTTGGCTGCACCCAACCCGACGTATGAACTACAGCCCGGCTGGTCAGGTACTGGAGTTTACTTTAGGTGCCTGCCTAGCTTCTTGAAGACAGCCAGGGATCTTGAAGACAGCCAGGGGTCTTGAAGACAGCCAGGGGTTTTGAAGACAGCCAGGGGTCTTGAAGACAGCCAGGGGTCTTGAAGACAACCAGGGGTTTTGAAGACAGCCAGGGGCTTTGAAGACAGCCAGGGGTTTTGAAGGAGCCGGGGGTCTCGAAGACAGCCAGGGGTCTTGAAGACAACCAGGGGTTTTGAAGACAGCCAGGGGGTCTTGGAGACAGCCAGGGGTTTTGAAGACAGCCAGGGGTCTTGAAGGCAGCCAGGGGTCTTGAAGACAACAAGGGGTTTTGAAGACAGCCAGGGGGTCTTGGAGACAGCCAGGGGTTTTGAAGACAACAAGGGGTTTTGAAGACAGCCAGGGGCTTCGAAGACAGCCAGGGGTTTTGAAGGAGCCAGGGGTCTCGAAGACAGCCAGGGGTCTTGAAGACAACCAGGGGTTTTGAAAACAGCCGGGGGGTCTTGGAGACAGCCAGGGGTTTTGAAGACAGCCAGGGGTCTTGAAGACAGCCAGGGGTCTTGAAGATAACCAGGGGTTTTGAAGACAGCCAGGGGCTTTGAAGACAGCCAGGGGTTTTGAAGGAGCCAGGGGTCTCGAAAACAGCCAGGGTCTTGAAGACAACCAGGGGTTTTGAAGACAGCCAGGGGGTCTTGGAGACAGCCAGGGGTTTTGAAGACAGTCAGGGAGCTTGAAGACAGCTAGGGACTTTGAAGACAGCCAAGGGTCTTGAAGACAGCCAAGGGTCTTGAAGACAGCCAGGGGTCTTGAAGACATCCAGGGGGGTCTTGAAGACAGCCAGGGGGGTCTTGAAGACAGCCAGGGGTCTTGAAGACAGCCAGGGGTCTTGAAGACAGCCAGGGGTTTTGAAAACAGTCAGGGGTCTTGAAGACAGCCAGGGGTCTTGAAGACAGCCAGGGGTTTTGAAGACAGTCATTGATCTTGAAGACAGCCAAGGGTCTTGAAGACAGCCAAGGATCTTGAAGACAGCCAGGGGTCTTGAAGACATCAGGGGGTCTTGAAGACAGCCAGGGGTCTTGAAGACATCCAGGGGGTCTTGAAGACATCCAGGGGTCTTGAAGACATCCAGGGTGTCTTGAATATAGCCAGGGGTCTTGAAGACATCCAGGGGTCTTGAAGACATCCAGGGGGGTCTTGAAGACATCCAGGGGGGTCTTGAAGACACCCAGGGGTCTTGAAGACATCCAGGGGGTCTTGAATATAGCCAGGGGTCTTGAAGACATCCAGGGGTCTTGAAGACATCCAGGGGTCTATTGGTAATCACTCTTAGTACAGAACAGAACCTCCTCCACAGGCGCTGCATAATCCTACGGGTTTAGCGCTCCCACATAATAATATCTCGCACTGCCAATGGAAATAAGTCACTGACGTGTTTTGGGTTATCCCAGGTTCTCTACACATATGTTGCTATGTATGATAATCTATGTAACTGTATTTGTGCATAACTAAATAAACTTACATGTGGAAGACATTGGGACGCGCATTGTTTGAAATAATTTTAGCAATATATAAGTAGGAAATGTATAATACTGGAGTATAAAGTAACAGAATATTACTTAAATGAAATATTGCAAAGACCACAATGGAATTAAGTCACTATGACTTGTTTTTTTAGTTATCATTTTGTAATTATAGTTATCATAGGTGGATCATTTACACACATGTTACTGGGCATAATTACTCATAATAAGTACCTACATAAAGTTATTTAATACATATTTTTTAGATTGAGAGAAGCGAGGGAGAGTACTCACCTAATTGTGGTTGCAGGGGTCGAGACTCAGCTCCTGGCACCGCCTCTTCACTGATCGCTGCTAGGTTCTCTCTTTCTCTGCTTCCTGAGCGTTGTCATACCTCGTCTTAAAGCTATGTATGGTTCCTGCCTCCAGTACATCACTTGCTAGGCTATTGTACTTCCTGACGACTCTGTGACTGAAGAAATACTTCCTAACATCCCTGTGACTCTTCTGAGTCTTCAGCTTCCAATTGTGACCCCTTGTTTCTGTGTCCCCTCTCTGGAATATCCTGTCCCTGTCCACCTTGTCTATTCCCCGCATTATTTTGTATGTCGTTATCATGTCTCCCCTGACCCTCCTGTATTCCAGTGTCGTCAGTCCGATTTCCCTCAACCTTCGTAGGACATTTCCCTGAGCTCCGGAACTAGCCTTGTTAGGGAGAGTAGTTAGTTAGGGAGAGTAGTTAGGGAGAGTAGTGGGATAATGAGTATATTACAGGGTGAAGTGAAGCTGTGATATTGTGGCACATTATTAAATGAAGTTAATTAAAGATGAAGGACTTAAATGAGCATAATATTAAAGATTATTTCAACTTGAAATAATGTACAGAGATGGGTGACATTGAGGTGTTAATTTATTATCATCATGATGCGTCCCATAGCCACCCTGTGGGCGGCAGTCAAAATATTCCAGAGGTACATAATGAGTCCAGAGCATTTCGGGGGAACTTAGGCCTATCTTAGTAAGTAAATAAGACTAAAAAGTGGAGGTGAGTGACATTGTTGAGCATTATTGGGTTTTCCTAGACTTGATGTATATAATGTAAATTTTACGTGTCCATAACAGTTGCATACTCTCACGACCCTTGTACATTTTTTGTGTAATGTAAAGAAAGGTTAAATAAAGAGTTGGTTATTCATGTCAAAATAATATAAGTGTCTTCCATGGTGGTGTGTGGTCACGTGACCGAGTGATTTAAAGTTTAGACCAATGAGAGTGAGTGTGAGCTCTGGCAGCGACCAATCAGCGACCTCCTTCATCCTCTCCTCATTCAAAACTTGTAAACTTGAGGTGTGTGTTGATGCTGCCTTAACTTGCTCTCCATATTGCTTATTTCCTGCCACAAAACTGGGAAAATGACGAGCCACCACAAGGATGAAGTGAAGAAGGAGATACCGGAGATAATAACAGACCCGTCCACTGGTACTAAGTACCAGAGAGGAAAGTTTCTGGGCAAGGTATGTCAGCCGTGTCCTCTCCTTCATCCTCTCGTATTTACTAAGTCCTGCCTTTATTTCTCTACTGAACATCGCCTGGGTTGTTTAACTTATCTTGTGTAAATAAACATGTATATGAGTCCTTTTTCTATGTTATTTATATACTTATATTCCCTCTTAGTAAGTCCTATATCTATTTCAGTACTTTATTTAGTAGATAATTTTATGAAACACTACAAAATATTCCTTATTCTCACCATAAATACCACACCTACATACATTCTTACATATATACATTGTTTATTCATTGTGTTCAGTCTGAAAATGTTTTTATACTTGTTAATTAATCATGTTTGTTTATACATTAGTAGATTTAAATGATGGCAATGTACAATGATTATAGAAAACCATAGTTATAATAATAATTAACACAAGATAACCATATACTAGTACTTTTTGAATATAGTCCATAGGTTTGTATCTTCATGCACGTATACTGTAGGACCCCAATGGAAATAAGTCCCTCTTATTTTTTTTTTCTTTCCTGGGTAATTGACCCATATTAAACTATGTTATGATAATTGTTCATATATGTGCCTGTACCTAAATAAATTTAATACATATTACTGTCTTCTCTACATGTCTGTGATGTTACCTACAGCTTCTCTCAAAATTACTTTGTCATTTGGCTTCATAAACTTTATATTTGATAGCTTTCTCTCCCTGGGACTAACTCTTATTGGTAGAGCGTTTAGCTCACAACGGAAAGGGTCTGGGTTCAATCCCAGGTTGTGCAAGATTACAGTCAGGCCTCCTGACACTTGCTGCACGTTACATAATGCTAAATAAGTTAGACTATTTAAGGTTATCAATGCTCTGGGGGTTATTCTGAGTAGTCTTCTAATGTTCCAAGGAGAAATCAGCGTTAATAACTATCTTAACACCAGTTTTGGGTTGTCCTATTTTAAATCTGCAGAATTTTCTGCCTGAGTACTTTATGCTTAAAAAAGTTGTACCTACTGACATTATTGTACAAATTTACAAGTCTAAAAATCATATGTAGATTTCTTGAACCAATCTTATAATTACCCTAATTACTTAGGATAAGCCACACACACTTAAATATACATAATAATATTAAGAACTCAGCCTTAAGTAATTAAATTACCTGCTGTCCTGTACAGTAAATACAATTATAGTGACTAACTATTACAATATTAGTTAAATTGAATCTAAAACAGCTACAGTATTCTCAGTTCACAAAGGGGGTGATTCATATTGACACAAGCAATTATAAACCAACATCAAAACTGCAGATGTTATAAAAATAATTCATTAATAAGTATACTGCATAACTAGACATTTTTTACTCTATTGTTTTATACTTCCAAAAGGGTACAGATAATATCTATAAGAATACCAGTGGTCTTGCTGGGTTAGTAAGTCAGTCTGTCTCCTGGATAACTTGCTTACATCAGTGACTGGAAGATTTGGCGACTTCACTGGATACCAGCCATAATAAACATGTTGGACAATCTACACAGCTAATACCAACTTAGAATATATTTTAGTGTGAAAAGCCTTGACACTGGATTGCAACAATCCTCTGAACTATTGAAGGTTCCTGGGCTCTAGTATCAAAAACTTAAGACATCAGTGCTGATATGTGTTGCTACTCTTGATACACACATACCCCATACAATAAATGGTAGCCACCGATCATCCACACTACCACCCACATGATCCCTATCATACTACGTTGTTTCAAGCCTTCATCCGTACACCCCTCGAACACCCAACATTATATATATGTAGGGTTTGCCACTGACTGCAGTTTTGGCATCCACAGTAGGCCTTGGAATGTATCCCCTGCAGATATGGGGGACTACTGTACTGTATACTGCACTGTATCTATAGATTTTTTTTTTTTCAATGTGTTTGATATGAATATTTAGGATAATTTCAATATGTTGATAAGATGTAAGCCTAGAATTTTACTCTTCGTACTTTGTCATTCTCGTAGCATCCAAATGTTTCTTGTAAATCAGTACAGTACTTGTAAAATGGTTAAAAAGTTGGATCAGATCAGATACGATAGTTGTATTTTTGTTCATTGTCCAATGTGTTATGAGACTAAAGTAACCATACCTGAATTTTAGTCCAGTATTCTGGTCTTGATGTAGCCAGTAAGATCACCTTGGTAAGTGTCAGTTAACCCTTAAATGGTCCAAACATATATATACGTTTTTTCAACATCTGAAAGTATGTAAAAAAGTGTAGATCTTTTTTGTTTTACATTTGAAAACGTGTAAAAAAACTTTTATCTACTTTTTTTTTTGTTATATTTGAAAATATGTAAAAAAAAAGTAGATCTACTTTTGTAGCACTACGAATTTGAACGTCGATCTGTTTGGACCATTTAAGGGTTAAATATTATGACCGAAACGTCTGAGGTTCCCTCTGTAAATTGTGGGTTATTGGTGGAATGAATCGATATAATTTGCTACAGGACTAGATGTTTCATGGCATAATTCATTCTTGGCTGTTAATATGGAATGATCTTTTGATTTTAGCTAATAGCACAGTTTGTTATTTTCATATTCTTAAGTTTTATAAAAATATGTTTTAGTGCTCTTGATAAATTAGTTAATTATTATTTATTTCAGGGTGGATTCGCGAAATGTTACGAACTAACAGATTTAAAAACCAAAGAAATATTTGCTGGGAAGATAGTTGCCAAATCGTTACTTGTCAAGCCACATCAGAAAGAAAAGATGTCTCAGGAGATATCAATTCATCGCAGTTTAAAAGATAAGCACGTTGTTGGCTTCCGTGGATTCTTTGAAGATTCTGATAACGTGTACATTATCTTAGAATTATGTAGGAGAAGGGTAAGTTAATTTGTTAATATTACACAGCTACTTTTCTGATTTTCCCTGATGTTTATTTTAGAACTGTCATTGGTGTAGTACTGTATCTAGCTTATATGACCAAAATAGTATTTGCTAGGTAAACCTTGTCACCTCTGTTCTTTTTTGTTTTTTATAATGCAAGGTATGTAAAATAATATGTATAGAAAGAAGTTAGTTTAATATGTTTATTATGCACCCCATACTCATCCTCTGGGTGGTAGTCAAAGGATTACAGTGTTTGTGTATAGATAGAAGTGAAAGTGGAATAAGAATCTTTCCTCCATAAGCTATGCGTGTTGTAAGAGGCGATTAAAATGCCGGGAGCAAGGGACATGTAACCCCTTTTCCTGTATAAATTACTAAATTTAAAAAAAACTTTCGTTTTTCTTTTTGGGTCACCCTGCCGGTTTGTTGAAAGAAAGAATATTAACATGAAATGAACTTGTGTGTTGGAAGAATACCAACGTAAGTTGAAACGGTAGATCATTTACAATGTAAATACATTGCAGGGAATTTAGCACAACAGAAATTGCAGCTGTGAAAATATAGCACCGAAAAGGGATTGGCATTAAAGGCTGTAAAAGAAGGAAGGATTGGTCAGGAAGCAGTCACAGTAGTGCTGAAGAGTGGGTTTTTTTTCCTCTCAGTGGTTGCAGTCTGTGGACTCAAATATCAGGATTGTGTTTACCACCTAATAAGACATAATACGACCACTGGATCAAAGAGATATTAAAACACCCTCACAAGGGATCCTTAACCTTGTCAAACCCTGTGTAAAAAAATAATAAAAAAAAAAGTAATGGAATGACTACAGATTGGAGTCCCAGAGTTCTGGTGTAAACTTAACATGTAGATGCATTTGTGTGTATACAATTGGCATGGAAGCAAGTGCGCCAATTAACAGTATGTATATGGAGGCAGGAGGCAAATGCTCTATTTAACAGGTGGCCAGTAATGGCAGTTGTGGTGGAAAAAGAAAAGCTTATTCTGCAGTGATTGTAACAATACTGAACAATTCTGTGACTACAGGACTTTGTCCATTGTTGCCAAATCTATTGACCCAACAGGCTTTGTTCTGTATTTCCAATAAATATAGCACTTACTGTATTTTGTGGTGAATAATTTCTCTGGCATTCCTTCATTAAGTAGTAAGGTCAAGAAAATTGTGACTGGCATGAAGTGCACCATGTGAAGGCTCTAAATTCATGTTGACATGGGTTGTGTAGGTCGTGTATTTCTTACACATGATGAAAAATTCAAGTAAGATTTTTCCACAGGGGATGCTGTAAACATGTTTCACTAGGAGAGAGTAACCACTGTAATTTCATTTGAATCTTCTAATACTGAGGTCGTGTCAGCATAGACCATCATATCTCCACGGGACCCTCCCAACAGTCGCCTCCATGCGCTGAATTTTCGCTCTGCATTCGTTTCCACTTTTCAGATTCAATTGTAATTATGGCGAAAGTAAATGCATATACCACCCAGAGTTTCACTAATATATGGATGTGCAGGCCAAGGTTGGTGATATTAGTGGGGGCCAAATTACCCAGCAAATGTGAAGTGATACCTTTTATATATACCTTTGAAGAGTCTCGAGAGAGTATCTATTCTCTGAGCCTGGCCATGGGCCAGGTTCGTCTGGTGCTTGCCTGGTCAACCAGGCTCATTTCTTCCATTATCACCTTAAGGAAGACTGGGAGGCCACAGCTGTGACAAGTTGGATAGGAAAACTGGTAGCTGTACAACAGGTCTGGTTTCATTGTTGACTTATGTTAATTAGGCAGAGTTACTCATGATGCACTGTGTGGACCCACCTGGTTTTACATTTCTTCAAAGGCTCATGGAGGTTGTTGGAAACCCAAACGGTTGAGCTGAGGCCAAAAAATATCGGCAGGTGTCGTATTTGATGACAAAATATCAGCATACAGAAGGGCCCCGCTTTACAGTGGTTCACTTTACGGTATTTTGCTAATGTAACAGTTTTCAATTACATCCATTCAGTATTCAAACTTCCTGCAATAAATATATTCAGAACTCACAATAAGCTAAGGATGAAAATATTTTAAGTAATGTGTGTACTGTATATGCATTTTATAGGCTTAGCTTTATTGCTCACTTAATATATAATAGTGGAAACATGTTATCAGGCCTTTATATGCATTGAAAATGAAATTTTTTTTTTTTTTCACTTGACAGTGATTTTCACTTTACAGCAGTAGCCCAAAATCTAACCTGTATAAGTGGGGCCTTCCTGTACGAATACAGTGAGCACAGTTTGGTCACTTTATGTACTAGTATGTCAAACACAGTTCCGGGATAAATTTGTGTACAATAGTAATATAGGTGTGTGGAATTATAATTTTTCTTTTTCTCTTTAATTTGTAGTCGCTGATGGAACTTCACAAACGGCGTAAAGCAATAACCGAACCTGAGACACGTTACTTTCTGAAGCAGATCCTTAATGGCGTCAAACACTTGCACGACAGAAAAGTTATTCACAGAGATCTCAAGCTTGGTAATCTCTTCCTTAATGATGAAATGGAACTAAAAATAGGAGATTTTGGCTTGGCTACTAGAATAGATTATGAAGGAGAGAGGAAAAGGTGAGTATGATGTGTTTTAATCCCTTGTAATTTTGTCTTATTTACAGTGGACCCCCGCATAGCGACTTTAATCCGTGCAAGAGGGCTGGTTGTTATGTGAAATGTTCGGTATGCGAATGAATTTTCCCCATAAGAAATAATGGAAATCAAATTAATCCGTGCAAGACACCCAAAAGTATGAAAAAATTTTTTTTTTACCACATGAAATGTTAATTTTAATACACACAAACTGAAAAAGGCATGCACAATTACATGACACTTACTTTTATTGAAGATCTGGTGATGATTGATGGGATGGGAGGAGGGGAGAGAGAGTGTTAGTGTTTAGAAGGGGAATCCCCTTCCATTAAGACTTGAGGTGTCGAGTCCTTTTCTGGGGTTGCTTCCCTTCTTCTTTTAATGCCACTAGGACCAGCTTCAGAGTCACTGGACTTTTGTCGCACAACATATCTGTCCATAGTGGCCTGTACCTCTCATTCCTTTATGACTTCCCCAAAGTGTTTCACAACATTGTCAGTGTACAGGTTGCCAACACGGCTTGCAATAGCTGTGTGAGGGTGATTTTCATCCATGAAGGTTTGCACTTCAAGCCACTTTGCACAGATTTCCTTAATCTTTGTTGTAGGCAACTTCTTCAATTTCTCTCTCCCCTCTGAACCAGTTTCCTCAGGTCTGGCCTCTTGCTGTTGAAGTTGATCTATCAGCTCATCAGTGGTTAGTTCTTCATTGTCCTCCTCCACCAACTCTTCCAACATCATCCCCACTAACCTCCAACCCTAAGGACTTTCCCAATGCCACAATGGATTCCTCAACTGGCATAATCCTCTCAGGGTTAGCCTCAAACCTTCAAAATCCCTTTTGTCTACACATTCTGGCCACAGTTTCTTCCAAGCAGAGTTCAAGGTCTTCTTAGTCACTCCCTCCCAAGCCTTACCTATAAGGTTTACACAATTGAGGATATTAAAGTGCTCTCTCCAAAAAATCTCTTAGAGTCAGTTGAGTTTCTGAGGTCACTACAAAGCACCTTTCAAAAAAGAGCTTTTTGTGTACAGTTTTTGAAGTTTGCAATAACCTGCTAGTCGATGGGCTGCAGGAGAGGAGTGGTATTAGGAGGCAAAAACTTCACCTTAATGAATTTCATGTCCCCATAAAGTCGCTCTGCCACGTCTGTAGGATGACCAGGGGCATTGTCTAACACCAGGAGGCACTTAAGTTCTAATTTCTTTTCAGTTAGGTAATCTTTCACATTGGGGCAAATGCATGGTGTTAACCAGTCATAGAAAAAGTCCCTAGTGACCCATGCCTTACTGTTTGCCCTCCACAGCACACACAAATCTCCTTGAGGACATTCTTTTGCCTGAACGGTCTGGGAGTTTCAGAGTGATACACTAATAAAGGCTTCACTTTGCAATCACCAGTAGCATTGGAAACACATCAACAAAGTAAGCCTGTCTTTCATAGGCTTATGTCCTGGGAGTGCCTTTTCCTCCTGAGTAATGTAGGTCCTGCTTGGCATTTTCTTCCAAAACAGGCTGTTTCATCACAATTAAACACTTGTTCAGGTTTCAGTCCTTCACTGTCTATGTACTTCTTGAATTCCTGCACATATTTTTCAGCTGCTTTGTGGTCCGAACTGGCAGCCTCACCATGCCTTATCACACTATGTATGCCACTACGCTTCTTAAATCTCTCAAACCAACCTTTGCTGGCCTTAAATTCACTCACATCATCACTAGTTGCAGGCATTTTTTTAATTAAATCCTCATGCAACTTCCTAGCCTTTTCGCTTATGATCGCTTGAGAGACGCTATCTCCTGCTAGCTGTTTTTCATTTATCCACACCAATAAGAGTCTCTCAACATCTTCCATCACTTGCGATCTCTGTTTCAAAAAACACAGTTAAACCTTTGGCAAGAACAGCTTCCTTGATTGCCTTTCTGTTGCCCACAATAGTAGAGATGGTTGATTTTGGTTTCTTGTACAACCTGACCAGGTCGGCGACACGCACTCCTTTCATACTTATCAATGATCTCTTTCTTCATCTCTATAGGAATTCTCACCCTTATTCCTGTAGGGTTGGCACTAGAAGCTTTCTTGGGGCCCATGGTCACTTATTTTCCAGATAAAGCACCGAAAACACTGTAATAATACGAAATATTCCGATTGTATGCTTGGATGTTACTGCGGAGGCTGGCTGGTAAACAATGCCACCGGCGGAACATGTGAGGCTGGCTGAGGGCGCACATTGGACGCGTCTCGGACGAAGAGCGGTGAGCGGGTTTTTGGGCAGTATGCGAGGCAAAATTTTTTGCGATCAAAGCGAGCGGTATGCGGATTGTACGGTATGCGATGCGTACGGTATGCGGGGGTCCACTGTATTTTTATTTTCAGATCTATTGTTATTTAGAGATCATTAGAATATTTCCATGTTTCACAGAGGTGTAAAATTTGTATTTCCAATACTGATACTGTAGTAACAGTTTGTAGGATGACAAGATTTACAGTTATTTTTTGATAATTTACACTTTAATGAGACACACATTTAGAAGAAATGTTTGTGTCTCCACGTTTATGCCTCTGTGTAAACCTAACATTCATTTGGTGTTTATTTGGCATTAGTTTTAAGAGTCCTTGTTGTGCCCACTAAGTTACATTATTTAGTATATTATTTAGTATGGCCTGTACAGCAGAGTTTATCAAGTTAATAGAAGATACTTGGAGAAAGATTATATAGGCAGGAGCAAGGAGAGGTCGGGGGGGTTGTAATGCATTGTGTGAAAATATCTAAATTTGATGGTTTGTATCTGTAATGCCAGTTTTGTAATTTTTATGTAAAATTTTATACAGTATTAAAATGGTGGTTCTGTTGTAGCTTTAAATTTAAATCTAGTTTGTGTGTTTTACAAGTACTGTATGCTCTTATCTTTACAGAACACTGTGTGGCACCCCAAATTATATTGCTCCAGAAATCCTCTGCAAGAAGGGTCACAGTTATGAAGTTGATATCTGGTCTATAGGTTGCATTCTGTAAGTACTTAATCAGCTAACAGGGCTCTTTTGTAACTTCTGGGGTCTATTTTTTCTTGTCCATATCATTCAATTATAAAACATTTGATGAGTATTACTCAAATGAATTAAATTAAGCTAATTAGTATATGATAGTCCTTTTAGGAGAGTTTGAAGAGAAGCTGCAAAGGCTGGTGGATGAGGTTGTGAGCATGTATAAAAGGAGGAAATTAAAAGTAAACACAGAAAAGAGCACTTTAATGAGACTAACAAAGGTCCAGGCAATGAAAAATTTGATATATTGGAGGGAGGGAGTATGGAGGAAGTAGTACATGTATTTAGATATTTGATAGTGGATGCATGTTGGCAGATGGGCCTATGAAAGATGAGATCTTAAAGGGACGTTCCTTGAAGCAGGTGGAGGGCTTCTGATCCATGGAGTTGGAATTATCTTCCACATTGATCAAACCTGATTGCTCCCACTCCTAATTTCCCAGGCACTGTTGACCAAAAATGGGTTTGAGACTGTTTATTAGGGAGGTGGTCAACTTGTCAGTTTGTTTTAATTTGTCCACCCTCCCTAGTTGGAAAATGCCTCTTGAATTTAAAACAAATATATGCACTATGTAATTCTTAACTTTGACTTCATTATACTAATTTATGTAACTCGTGTGCCTTACATGTTTCTTTTCAGATATACATTATTAGTGGGAAAACCTCCATTTGAAACACAGACTTTAAAAGATACATATATGAGGATTAAAAAAAATGAGTACCACATACCATCAAGGATTGGTCCACTTGCCCGCTCACTTATTCAGAGACTGCTACAGGGAGACCCAACACGCAGACCTAATGTTGATGTGATTCTTGCCGACGATTTTATGACATTGGGTAAGTTGGAGATGCTGTCTTTCTGCATCATGTACAGCTTTATTTGCATTAACAGTATGATGACAAGTATCTTCACCAGGTGCTAGATCAACCACGCTGTGATGGATATGTAGGGCAGTGGGCCTCCAGCAGCAACAGCCTGGTTGATCAGGCAAGCACCAGACGAGCCTGGCCCATGGCTGGGCTCAGAGTAGAGAAACTCGAAACTCTTGAAAGGTATATCAAGGGTAAAGGTATGATGAATATATTCAAAACATCAGTGCTGCATACATAACTTCGGAATATTTATTTGGCATTTATGTTAAACAAATCTAATTTTAATGGGGCATGTGATAGTAATTTGTGACAAAATTATTTTCCATAACAAGCTCTATGAAGCCAAAGAAATATTTTAAAACGCTGAAGGATGTGAGCGATTGAAGAAGTCTTTAGAAAATTTATTTTAGTCAAATTAATGTAGGAGCTTAGTGAACAGTTACTGGTCTCTGCTTTCATTGCATTCATTAAACTGATTTAAGACTTGAAACCACTTGCTATACATTTCTGCCTTTCTCTACATGGTCTGTTGTCATTCTGACTACAATACCACTCGGGTATCTAACCTCATTCATAGCTCTTGGCTGCTATGAATGACAACCTTTCTCAGACAAGAATCTTAGTTCATGTGTGCAGGTACTTGTACTATTATCAACAGGATTATACATCCTCAAAAATCTTCATTATTTTACCCAGGTTTTTGTTTGCTCAGCAACACTTTTCTTCATATAAAACTTGTTAGTAACATCTCTTCATCTTTACTGCAACTTATTTCTAAAGTCTCTGCAAATAAAATCTTAGGCATGAAACTTAAAAAAACAAAAAAACAAAAAAAAAAAAAAAAAAGTTAATTGAATACCAAAGAGAAATTATTAGAAAAATAATGAAAGCAAAAGGTCGAATGGCCAGATATTGATGCTTCATTCCCTAATAAAGCTAATTAAACTGTTTGTGTTTTATTCATCCCCCCCCCCCCCCCTTTTTTTTTTTTTTTTTTTTTTTTTTTTTTTTTTTTTTTTTTTTTTTTTAGAGAGAGAGAGAGAGAGAGAGAGAGAAAGGGATACTTTTGGTGCATGTCCACACATATTGCCCTTTTCAGAAAAATATTGAACAATGATAGTAGCATTTAATTAATATCTTTAAAACTTGCTCTTTTTTTAAAACTAATAATATTAGCCTTTCATACGCACTGCTTCCAACTTAGAAAATTTTTGCTACCTTCAAAATTGTCTAGCTCTAAGTTTAAGAAAACCCCTACAGTCAATTTCTGTGCTCTTTCACTGGCTTTGTCTTGTTCATTAATCGGGCAATAATGTTTTCTTCTTGGTTATATCTTTGTATTCCAATTTATTTTAACATTAACTTTTTCCCAGTTTATATTAACTGAGGTTCTTGCTTAGTTTTGATGCGTTAGAATGGGGAACTACCAAAAATTTTGTATAGGCATTTCATCCCAGTATATAATTACTGTTTTTGGGGGGGGTTTAAATAGAAAAGGGGGGAGTGATGGAGCCATTATGTTTTTTTTTTTCTAGAATCACAGGTGTGTTTCAAGAGAAATTAAAAAGCTTTTGATGAAAAAAATTTTACTACAGATGAATTGAAATGCAAAGACTAAGATATACCAAGGTACATACTCTTTTAAAGTCCAAATAAATTGCTGAAAAATAACTATGCATGAAATAAAAAATTGGTACATTTAGTGAAATTTTACTTTTTTAACTAGTGTCACTTTATTTTTATCCACAATTCTGCCATTCGGGGGCAGTATAGGGGCCATCAGCCAAAGGAAACTAGAGTTTGCAGACTAGGAGCTGTTAACAAGTGCATGGCATGAAAAAAAAAATATAAGTTATGTGGGTGAGACATCCACATAACAAAAATCAAGAATTTTTTTCTTTTGAATTTCATAAATTTTGATCAATCTTTTTTTCACCTAATATAGATGGGAATTAAAATCCAGCTACTAAGTATTAGGCATGTCGATCAGATTTTAAACAAAAACTTTAAAATAAATTTTTTCAATTTCAAACTTGGTTGTCAGATTTGTTAAATTTTTTAATCCTGTCTTAACTAATCTTCACACCGACTGCCTTTGAAAACTTAGAAAAATTTCTTACTTTTGCAGCCTGGCCCTGGGCCCGGCTTTACGCTGGGGGCTCACAATCACTAGCCTGGTTAATTTTCAAATTTTGGGAAGGGACAAAAACCCAAATTTTTTCATAAAACTAAAACACTTGTTCCAGCAATGTTTCTGATATCTTGTGGTAGTCTGGGCCCACAGATATTGATAGTGTTATTTTGCTGTGCCCATGCTGCAGTAGCTAAATTCTTCCATTTTTTCCATAGCTTTTCTATTGTTGACTTCACAGCACTAAGTTGAAATTGTTCAAATATGAGCCACTGGCTTGTTCTTTATCATGCTTATTCTGTATAAAGCAATAATATCTCCAAAAACATAAAAAATCAGATTAGAGAAATTTTTTTTTGTAAGACACGTATTTCTAGTCATTTACATTAACATGTTATTTTTTTTATATTACAGGTTACATTCCAACTCGCCTACCAACCTCTTGCCTCACCATGGCTCCAAGATTTGATTCTCGGTGTTCCATTGTTGCTACGAGGAAACCTTTACTGGAGATAAACAACAAAGGTAAGTATGTACTCACGAATAGTCAGGGATGTGCTTTTTCTGTTTTTATAGAATGGCCAGGGTATTCTATGTAAATTGTAGTCATAATGTTAATTTTTTTTTTCAACACCAGCAGTCTCTTACCAAGGCAGGGTGACCTATTAAGAAAAACAAAAGTTTTTCTTTTTAATTAATGAACAGTGATAAATGCTGGACTGGTAGCTCAGCTTTATAGTATGATGAGGAAAAGCTGTCTAGTAGAGTTTGTATGTGATGTCATAGGGCGAGCATGTGCCAGTGATGCTGTTTGTCTTGTGAGAGTTGCAACGAAATAATGCCCCCTGCCTTCATGTGCTCCCTTCCCGTGCCCTGATCCCTCCCTTCATATGCCCTCTTCCCATGCCGCCCACTCCCTGCCTTCCCCTGAACCCCACTCCCTGCCTTCACATGCCCCCTGCTCTCTGCCTTCCCATGCCCCCACTACCTTCCTGTGCCCCCACTGCTTTCCCATGCCCCCACTCCCTGCCTTTCCATGCCCCCCACTCCCTGCCTTTCCATGCCCCCACTCCTTGCCTTCCCATGCCCCCACTCCCTGCCTTCCTATGCCCCCCACTCTGCCTTCCCATGCCCCCCACTCTGCCTTCCCATGCCCCCCACTCCCTGCCTTCCCATGCCCCCACTCCCTGCCTTCCCATCCCCCCCACTCCCACCCTTCCCATGCCCCCACTCCCTGCCTTTCCATGCCCCCCACACCCTGCCTTTACATGCCCCCCACACCCTGCCTTTACATGCCCCCACTCCCTGCCTTCCCATGCCCCCCACTCCCTGCCTTCCCATGCCCCCACTCCCTGCCTTCCCATGCCCCCATTCCCTGCCTTCCCATGCCCCCACTCCCTGCCTTCCCATGCCCCCACTCCCTGCCTTCCCATGCCCCCACTCCCTGCCTTCCCATGCCCCCACTCCCTGCCTTCCCATGCCCCCACTCCCTGCCTTCCCATGCCCCATTCCCTGGCTTCCCATGCTCCCCACTCCCTGCCTTCCCATCCCCCCACTCCCTGCCTTCCCATGCCCCACTCCCTGCCTTCCCATGCCTCCCACTCCCTGCCTTCCCATGCCCCACTCCCTGCCTTCCCATGCCCCCCACTCCATGCCTCCCACTCCCTGCCTTCTGATGCCTCCACTCCCTGCCTTCTCATGCCCCCCCACTCTCAGCCTTCTCATGCCTCCACTGCTTTCCCATCCCCCCACTCTGCTACCCATGTCTCACTACCCGTGCCCCCCTCCCCCTCTACCATGCCCTCTACTCCATGCCTTCCCATGCACCCTGTTCCCCGACTTCTGCCCCCCCCCCATTCCCTACTCATCAGCTCAGGTTGACATTTCAACACTGTATGAGCACCATCTTGTGTGAAGGAATACGACAGGCCTTCCCATGCCCCCCACTCCCAGCCTTCCCATGCCCCCCACTCCTGCCTTTCCATGCCCCCACTCCCTGCCATTCCATGCCCCCCACTCCCTGCCTTTCCATGCCCCACTCCCTGCCTTTCCATGCCCCCCACTCCCTGCCTTTCCATGCCCCCACTCCCTGCCTTTCCATGCCCCCACTCCCTGCCTTTCCATGCCCCCCACTCCCTGCCTTTCCATGCCCCCCACTCCCTGCCTTCCCATGCCCCCACTCCCTGCCTTCCCATGCCCCCACTCCCTGCCTTCCCATGCCCCCATTCCCTGGCTTCCCATGCCCCCCCACTCCCTGCCTTCCCATCCCCCCCACTCCCTGCCTTCCCATGCCCCCCACTCCCTGTCTTCCCATGCATCCCACTCCCTGTCTTCCCATGCATCCCACTCCCTGCCTTCCCATCCCCCCACTCCCTGCCTTCCCATCCCCCCACTTCCTGCCTTCCCATGCCCCCCACTCCCTGCCTTCCCATGCCCCCACTCCCTGCCTTCCATGCCCCCATTCCCTGGCTTCCCATGCCCCCCCACTCCCTGCCTTCCCATGCCTCCCACTCCCTGCCTTCCCATGCCCCCATTCCCTGGCTTCCCATGCCCCCCCACTCCCTGCCTTCCCATCCCCCCCACTCCCTGCCTTCCCATGCCCCCCACTCCCTGTCTTCCCATGCATCCCACTCCCTGCCTTCCCATGCCCCCCACTCCCTGCCTTCCCATGCCCCCCACTCCCTGCCTTCTCATGCCCCCACTCCCTGCCTTCTCATGCCCCCCACTAGCCTTCTCATGCCCCCACTCTAGCCTTCTCATGCCCCCCACTCTAGCCTTCTCATGCCTCCACTGCTTTCCCATCCCCCCACTCTGCTACCCATGTCTCACTACTCATGCCCCTCCCCTCTACCCATGCCCTCTACTCCATGCACCCTGTTCCCTGACTTTCTGCCCCCCCCCCCCATTCCCTACTCATCAGCTCAGGTTGACATTTCAACACTGTATGAGCACCATCTTGTGTGATGGAATACGACAGGCAAACAGCTTTTGTTCCCACTTTAACTATCACACAGAATAACAGCAGCACACTGCCGATGTGTCCAGTTTTAATATAGTAAAAGAAACCGTCCCTGCACCTCCACTCCTATCTTACCCCATCCCAGCCCCTCCCTTCTGATTCCTTGCCACCACCTCACCCCATTCCCATCTGTACTGATTTTGTGGCATATTATCTTGGCGAGACTAGCCTGGCCTTCTGAATTAATATAATGTAGCTTAGTTCTGCCCAACATGTTTAGGGTCAGCCTATATTTACTTGGTGTTGCTTAGCATCAGTGAGTTTCTCGTTCTCAGGCTGGTTGTCAGTGATTGCGACAGTGAATTTGCAATGTTACTATCACTTGGAAATTCAATTTCTCGTTTGGACTAGGCCGTTCTGCCAAGGTAATTCCCAAGTGATAGTACTCCTGTGTTATGTATAAATCTTCCAATTTACTGTAGCTACTGAACACAGTATATCCCCAATATATCCTCAACGCCTTATGAAATCTTCCAGCTCAGGCTTAAGTCTATCAAAACAAGACTTATCCTGTGAAGTATGATGAGTAAACTGCTAATTTTCATACCCAACTAATTTATTTGCGAATAAGGCATCGACCTTCTTGGGCCTCGTAAGGCAGACGAGGCTTTTTTTTTTTTTTAAATTATACAAACGGGGAAAGCCTTACAATTGACTAGGTATACTGGACACCTGGTGTTTTGACTACTGTACAACTTTGGGGATAGTTTGTTAGTGGGATAATAATTCTGGTTTTCTGATCGTACTTGAAACTCTTTATTCATTATTGCATTTACAGATTTTGTATTTAGTAATTTTTTTTAAATTTTATTAATTGACGTTACCCTAACGAGGCCTGGTCGTGGACCGGGCTGCGGGGGCGTTAACCCCCGCGTCCCAGTCCACGTATACTCCAGGTAACTTAAATAACCATTACAGAGAAATTAGGTTAAGTAAATGCGTAAAAAAAAAAAAAATACGTTTTAAGAAGAGGCTGTAATGACGTCGATCTTTATTATTATTATTAAGCTAACTTCTGTAATCTTCCACAACGTTAGTGTGTTTTACTCAAAATACTAGCAAGTAGGAAACGGGACTGTAGCGAACATAGGTCTGATCCAAATTGTTAGTACTAGAACATGGCAAACTAAAACTGGCAGGCAGTAACCTGCGTTCAGAATTATAATCTTGGAGGGAGCGCTAAACCCGTAAGGATTATACAGTGCCTGTGGGAAGGGGGGATGGAAAGTATTCAGGCTCAATTCAGGGAACTGGAGCACAGATCCAATTCTTTAGATCAAGAGCCCATCACCAGCGTCAAGGAACCTCCCTTTAGGGGGCTTGTGGGGCCTGGTCTCAGAAAAGTGTGAAATCTAACTTAAACCTTTGCACAGACAGGATTGCTTCACTTGTCTTAGCTTCAAGAATTTACAAAACGATCAGCAAATCTTATTAACTTCTACCAGCGTTAACTACAGTAATTATTTACCATGAGTGTCCTAATAATTCACGTAACATTTCCTCTAGAATTTAAAAGGCCTAGTTTAAGACTAGGCCCCCCGGGGGGGGGATGATTACCAACAGATAACCTATAACTTAAATGATAGCCAAGAGAGTGCAATGACTGAGATTCACGGCTCCATCTTGTAGCAACTGAGTGCAGGCAGTTCCTGGAAGCTGGTAAACTAGATTAACTCTTGCAACCGTGTTAGGTCTACTCCATTATTCATGTTCACTCTCCTAATTACCTTCACTCTACCGCCAAGACTTTCTTTTATTGAGTTTCGCTTGAACTGCTTGCAAAATTATTTTTAAAAATATCGGGAACATGTTGGAAGACTGCTGGGAAGAGCCTAGCTGAAGCAGTATTTGACATGTGCAATATATATCACAGTTCTCAACTCTGCTTCCCCCCCCCCTAAAATCCACCCTTCTCCCTCCTCACTTTTCCCCCTCCTCCCTCTTCCCCCTCCTCCCTTTTCCCCCTCCTCCCTTTTTCCCCCTCCTCCCTTTTCCCCCTCCTTTCCCCCTCCTCCCTTTTCCCCCTCCCTTTTCCCTCCTCCCTTTTCCCCTCCCTTTTCCCCCTCCTCCCTTTTCCCCCTCCTCCCTTTCCCCTCCCTCCCCTCCCTCCTTTCCCCTCCTCCTTTTCCCCCTCCTCCCTTTTCCCCTCGTCCCTTTCCCCTCCTCCCTTTTCCCCCTCGTCCCTTTTCCCCCTCGTCCCTTTTCCCCTCGTCCCTTTTCCCCTCGTCCTTTTCCCCCTCCCTTTTCCCCCTCTTTTCCCCTCGCCCCTTTTCCCCCTCGTCCCTTTTCCCCTCGCCCTTTTCCCCCCCTCGCCCCCTTTCCCCCCTCGTCCTTCCCCCCCCTGTCCCTTTTCCCCCTGCCCCTTTTCCCCCCCCTTCCCCCCTCGTCCCTTTTCCCCCTCTTTCCCTTTTCCCCTCGTCCCTTTCCCCTCGTCCTTTTCCCCCCTCGTCACTTTCCCCCGTCACTTTCCCCCTCGTAACTTTCCCCCTTCTTTCCAAACTTTTTC